CAGGGAGCCGGAGTGGTCATAGAGCAAGGAGATGGGAGCAGAGACTTGGCAGATCACTATGTAACAATCTCTGTTCGTTGAGCATACAGAGATGAAACACATGCTACCAGTTAGGCACTGTGCTAAGGATTGAGCATATGAAGATAAACCAGGAACACAGGCTACAGGAAGAGAGACATGTATGCTAAACTGAGGTTTCTGTGGAGCATATAGTTACACCAGATTCTGGGAGGTGATGATAAAAAGAGAGAAGTAAACAGGCATTCTCAGTAGAGAGCAGAATGGGTTAGATGCCCGAGGCCAATATGACTAGTTTTGGACTCTTCATGTGCCCCTGGCTCAGGAAGAGGGCATGGTGGGGAAATGTAGGTAGCAAAGCTAGAAGGATGAACAGATGAAGGCCATGTATGTCTTATTTTGAAAGCAAAGGAACTGAATGAGAAGTTATAAGCAGGGAATAATGTGAGCAGATGTGCATCTTAGAATGGTCTCCCTTGTACAAGGCAGACAGGCCAGAAGGGTCATGAGAACAGAAGCAGAAAACTGGTTAGGAGATGAGAATCCTGTCTAGGCAGAAAGACTGGAATAAACTGATTCTGTAGACCCCACAGACTGCTGATGATATGCCTGAGAAAAGGGGCTGGGGGGCGGGTTGAACAAAGCATGACACCAAAAGGAGAGCTTATTAGGAGCTACATTTTCTCTCTCCTGTTTTAAATCCTAGATAATTTTACCAGCAAAATCTCCCTGCATAACCATGTGCCACCCCCCGAGCTCCACTGGCTAGGGGGAGAGAAGTAGATTCCCACACTGACAGTCCCAGTCTCGGCAGGATGAGTTATGGGAATGCTCTCATCTCTCTCTCTCAAGATAAGGTGCGGCTCTCCATGGGAGCTGCAGGCAGATATATATCAGTGCCCTAACCAACAGAGATAAATGTCATAACTCCAGCTCCTGTCCATAAATACACAGTGCAGGAACAACCTTAAACAGCCCAGTGTGCCCAGAAGAGGCAGGATTTAGTGGGCTTCGTTACTTGCTCATGTGCTGAAAAGCGCTTTTAGGAGGGTGTTAAATAGGCACATTACGCAAGCTCATGGACCCAAAATAAATAAGGCATTCTCCTTATGTGGACGTCGCCCACACAGAGAAGCTGCATGTGCCCTGTTCAACAAGAAAGGAGAGGAAGAGACTTTACAGAGCTGCCAGATACCGCTCTTGAGCCAGTATCCTTCAAACCAGTGCCAGCAAGAGGGCAGGGAGGAGATTCTTTATTGGCATGATCCTACTGCAGATACTAGGGTTACTCATTTTGAACAAGACATGAGTCTCAGCAAGAGAACCTGCTGCCTGTTATCTCCTAGAGATCTGTGATTTCTGGAAGTGGAACAGGTGGGAGATTTCTTGGTGCAACATCCTTTATGATGCTGGAGGCTGCGCTTTATCCACCTTCCATCACCTACTCTTTGTCTAGGTCCAGGCCATCAATTTGGCTTTTCATACAAAGCTCTGCTCCTAAACAAGCAACTGGCTCATCTTCCCAAATCAATGAAGCTCTCCAGCTCCCTGGAGAGGGATATATTAAATATCCATCATGCACGTTATTTTACAATATAATTACTCTGGCAATTAATCTGTAAGAAATATTGCTCTCCAGATCCTAACTTCTGCCAACACAAATACAAAGCTCTTGGAGAGTGGTCACATGGATGGGGCCTGAGCTTCCAGAGAAAGAGAGAGATGGCTCCTCCATACAAAGCCGAAGACATAAGAGATTAAAAGAGGAGATGATCTCCCCAGAGTCTCTTTCAACCCTGCTTCAAGAAACCATCGGAGCCACTATTTAATCAAGGAGAAGCAGAACTCAAGCAGAAATGGGGGAGGGACTATCTTACCCAAGCAGGTAATAATAAGGGCTCCTGCAGTCATGAGGTTTATAGTCTGCATTTTGGGGGGAGTGAAGATAGATATTTTCACAGATAAGATCTTTGGTACAGCAACTCCATACAAAATCCCACTGTTAGCTTAATGAAGGTGGGCTTTTGTTTTGTTCCCTGCTGTGTTCCCAGAGCACAGTGTGCATTCCATAAATATTTGCTGGATTAAGGGGGGAAGGAAGGAAAGCAGGTTCTTCCAGACCCATTTCACTGAGAGGTGCTCACCTAGCCACCCTGTCTGCTGTCCAGTACCCACCAGTCAGCTGGTCCATTTTTGCCCACAATCCCATGAGGGAGGAACTTGTAAGATAGCCATTTTTTTTTTTTTAAAAAGCCAATTCAATTTCCCAAATCTAAATGCTGTCCATCTCAAACCTACATATTGCCTTCCAATAATCAACTGATCAAATTAAAAAGTAAGTAGCTACACTGAACCCTGAAATTTTATTTCTTTACTTTTCTTCTTCCCTATGGTGGAAGAGGAACCGTGAAAAGGCTAAGAGTAGCAGCAGGAAAGACCAGAGAAGGAAGTGATAATTGCCAAATTGGATAAGCAGTCACTGAACAAATGAAAATAAAAGACTTGTTTTCCAATAGCTTCAAATCCAAGTAAAAACGATTGCTGGTGGAATGAACAAGGAAAAAATATTCTCCATCAAAAGCACTTTTCCCTTTTTACTTTGACATTTCTTTTACTGCCCCAATTAGTATCATTATGACAATAAATAAATAAAAGGCAGACTGAGAGAGTTAAGGGAGATTGAGTGATCCACATAAAAGCCATGAGCACAGAGACTAACTGGATCGGTCCACACGCGCACACAAATGTTTATTTCATACTTGCCCTCCTTTCCTATTAAAGGGAAGGAGCGGAGGAGAAAAACTTAAAGGCAGGAAAAATAGGAGTAGGTGGGATAAATAAAGAGGAAAAGAGATTGAAAGTAAAAAGGACTTGAAGAGGAATTCTAGAATGAGAAATGTGTGGGGGTGGTAAAGTAGGAGGGAGGAAAAATTCAGGGGAGGTATCAGAGATCCAGGACAAGACCTCTGTCCCCATTAGCAGATCTTGATACCGGCAGGTGAGGAATCAAACACCCTAATACAGATGTTTTCATACACACACCCACACACATACAGGGTCTTGCTCTGTCACCCAGGCTGGAGTGCAGTAGAGTGATCATGGCTCACTATAGTTTCAACCTACCAGGCTCAAGTGATCCTCCCACTTCAGCCTCCCAAGTAGCTGGGCCTACAGGTGCACACCACCATGTCTGGCTAATTTTTAAATTTTCTGTAGAGATAGGGTCTCACTATATTGCCAGGCTGGTCTCAAACTCCTGGGATCAAGCAATCTTTCTGCCTTGGCCTCCCAAAGTGCTGGGATTACCGGTGTGAGCCACTACAGCCGGTTGCTTTCTTCTGACTGTAGGTTTCTCTTACTTGTGCTACGGTCACCCATACTAGGAAAAATGGTTGAGATTCTACTGCTAAAAGATGTTTTACAGGCATCTACATTAATTAAAAATGTTCGTGTTTATTACGGGCCTCAAAGTATTGGGTATCTGACACTTTCAATTTTGATAAGCAACTTCAGAAATAATCTAGATTGTTGTTAACTGTCATGTCAAAAATGAGTTACAAGCACAGAAAGCTAAAGCAAACAGCCATTAAATCTAACACAGCTGCTTTCCTCAGTGGTTGATGGATCTACTGAGGAATCTCCAGGGCTGCTAGGCCATGGGGTCTGAAAAAATACAAGAAAGCTCAGAGCTCCTAATTTTCAGCCTACAGCTAAGAGTTTCTCAGAGGTGTCTGTGTTTTCCTGTTCCCTGAGCTTGTTCCATCCATTTGCATCCTGTGTGGTTGTTGTCTGCCCTTTGGAAACAGTGATGATCTTTATTTATGTGCAGCCTTCACTCCTAGCGGTACAACAGCCTCTCAGGAGACTCTCAGAAATGCACACTGGTGCCACAAATACAACTACAAAACAAAAATCCATTAATATCTTGGAAATGATATCCCATAGAAATTGAGATCAAAAGCTGCTAAGCAATAAACTTGTATATAAGAATATTCATAGCTTTCCTGTTCTCTTATTTTCTACTCAAAAATGCATGGCTTTGATAATGAAATTTCCACTTATTCAACAAACATTTATTGAGTGCCTATTATGTGACAAGCACTGGTAGGTGGGGATACAACAGAGACAAGCAACACAAAAACTTCTAGGAGTTAAGAGTCTATTGGAGAAAGCCTCCACTAATTAAGAAATAAGTAAGGGAGGAGAACTGCAGGGAGCTAGAACACATGATGAGGGGCAAGGGCTTATTCTGCTCTGGGAAAAAGTGGAATTTAAACTGAGAAGTGAAGGATGAATAGGAGCTAGTTCTTTCAATGTGGCAATGTGGATTTCGCAACATGCAGGTCCAAATAAGTCCAGGAAAAGAAAAAAAAGATCCTCAGCTAGAGAAGGTAGGTTTTGTTTTGTTTTTTTTTTTTTGCTTTATCAGTGACACAAAGCTACTTGCTAAAGCTTCCACCCTTACTGGTAAAAGGAGGTAAGGGCCTAGGATTTGTGCAAGGAACTCTGATCTTCAATCAATTTAGCCCATATTTCCAAACCCTGTTTTGGACCACCACATTCTGTCCCTCAAAATTAGCTTTACTCCCAAGAAGAAATTCCTTGTAAGAAGCAGAATCTCTCCCTGTCCTCTTCCATATAAATATAAGGATACTTAACATGAGACCTACTCTCCCAACACATTTTTAAATGTATAATAAAGTACTCTAACCAACAGGTACAATAGTGTACAGCAGATCTCCAGAACTGACTTGTCTCACATAAGTGAAATTTTAGACCTGTTGAGCAGCAACTCCCTGTTCCCCACTGCTCAAAGCCCCTGGCAACCACCATTCATTCTATTCTGTTTCTGTGAGTGTCACTATTTTAGGTACCTCCTACAATTGGAATCATGCAGTATTTGTCCTGCAACACTTAGCATAATGTGTCACTTAGCATAATGACCTGCAGGTTCATCCAGAGTAGCAAATGGCAGCATCTCCTTTTTTTTTTTCCCTAAGGCTAGATCACATTCCATGGTAGGTATATACCATATTTTCTTTATCCATTGGTTCCTAGATGGCCATTTAGGTTGTCTGAATATCTTGGCTATTGTGAGTAAGTGCTGCAATGGACAAGGGACTCCAGGTATCTGTTCAAGATACTGATTTCATTTCCTTTAGATATATACCCAGAAGCAAAATCACTGGATCACATGGTAATTATATTTAACATTTTTTGAGGACTCTCCATACTACTTTCCATCGCAGCTGCCACCACGTTACAATCCCACAAACAGCGCACAAGGGTTCCAAATCTAGATGTGTTTTGAATTGGTATTGATTTTAAAAATTAATAAATTGGTTCTTGCTCATACTTGCTATCTTTTGGTTTTTTGATAGTAGCCATCCTAATGGGGTATGAGATCCAGAATATTTTTTAAAGAGTCTCTGGTCCTATACACATCTGAGATTTAATCTGCAACTACCATTGCTACTGAAAGAACTGCCCTCTTACCCTTCAAGGTGGGTGGCTAATTGCCCCACTCTGCTGTACAACATAGAGGTCCTGACTACAAGCATCAAGGCAGGAGAGATCCATTAAATCTCTATAAGATGTGGCCACAATGACAGACCAGCTTAGTATGCACACTAAGAGCTCAGTACCTCTCACCAGGCAAGGGCTAATCTGGGCAGGAGGAAGGGAATGTAATAGTAGACTGCAGTTTCATTTCATGGATGGTAGGGAAAGTCACATACTGGTTCAAGGATATGCTCTAAAATGTCATAAGGCAAAGGCCTTCCTGGACAATAGCATGTATGCGGGCAGGATTCAATTCACACATCAAGTGTTGGATCAAAATGGCCACGTAGGGCTTCTTTGCATCATACAAGTGCTATATCACCGGATAAGAGGCACATCACAAGGATGATCTGCTGATCACAATGACACTATTTTTTCTCCACTTCTTTAATGCGGAAACTGGGAGTTTCACATATCTAGCAAGTTAGGGAGCCTAAACTTAGACTAGGTGGGGACTGGCTCCAAACCTGTTCTCTTAGCCACTAACACTTTGTGTATGCAATGAATATTTCATAATTCCCAAACCTAGAGAAAAAAAAGGCGGAGGGAAGTCTAGACCCTTTCTACTCAAATGAGGGTCTGCAAATCACTGATATTGACATCGCCTGGAAACTTGCTAGAAATGCAAATTCTCTAGCCCAACTCCAGACCCATTTAGTAAGTTTGGGAAGAGCTATTCTAGAGCTCTTGGGGTCCTAGTGACCACAGACCCTTTACAGTTTCCACTCTGAAGGGCAAATCAAGAAGTTCTGACCCAGCATTCCAGTTTTCTTTCAAGTACAGTAAGAGGAAGAGAACTGAGAGGGAAGGGAGTGGGGGATAAGCACTCTTTATCAGCTATTCAGCATAAAGCCTGGCCCACCAAATGACAAGGGAGAGGAAAAACAAAGTGACAGTGCACAAAACACAGCTGGCCATTAGCGCTGACAAAGGCTGAGGGAAGCACCTTTTCATTCTTCAGAGGCTCTAACCACATTTCACCCTGTGCTGGGGCCAGATCTTGAGCTGGGAGGCGGCTTCAAAGAAGGCAAAGGACGACCTTGGTTTGGGAAAAAAACTTTGTCCTCAGGTGATGTCCAAAACAAGTAAAGATGACTTCTGGGCTGTTGAGGAAAGGGTGTTTTTCAAATTGCAAGATTTCACACACAGGCGCATGCTGTATGAGATGCTTTTCCTCCCAAAACAAACAACAACAAAAGAAACCCACACAGTTTTTTGTTCTTAAATGCTGCTGGGAGAGTGATTCATTTTTGAATTTAATAGTTAAAGCCATAAGCTTACTTTCTCAGTGTGTATGCACATCTCATCTCCTTCCAACATTAAGAGATTAAAATCCAGCTCTTCTAAACTTGGCTCATTAAAGGCAATCTTCTTGCTAAGTATTGAACTTGAACTGCTTTTAAGTTTGATGCAAATAAAGGTCAAACTATTTTACTTTCTTCTTAAGGGTTTAGGGAAAACAAATGTGCATGAGAGAGTGTGAGGTGGAAAAACCGAATGAGCATCAAGAACTTACCATTCAAAATGATTTACGAGGGAACAGGGCTTCGTTTATTTGCCAGCTCCCTGTCTTCTCATCCCTCCCCTTCAAATCTCTTCACATTTGCATTGTTCATGTAAAATGAGTCAGGGAATGCAAAAGTTAAGTTCTCATAGCAACTGTTAAGAATCCCACACCACACATAAGCAGTATTGGCAATTACTAATTGGCTGTTGCTAAAGGTGAACCCTTAATATACCACATGTGTGAAGTGGGCGAAACAGCATTTTAACAGAACTTGAAACTTATTTCTCAGCTTGTGTGTTTAAATCTGTAGCCTTACGAATGAGCACCTGACAAAGAAAGACAAATCCCAGTTAAATCAAATGGTGAGCATCATGAATCTATCATCCTTACAAAAAGAGAACTGGGAACGGAAGAGGGTTGGGCTATGCAGGGGCCCAGATCTTGCACAAACATCTGGGAGACATTTGAGCAACGGGTGAATCCCAAACAAGCAGCTTGCTCCAAGCTGGTAGGGCCATTCAAGACAGTTTCTCAGCTTCTCTCTGGTGCTATCACAAAAGCCTAAGGTCCTCATCTCATTAGGGCCCTAATTGCTCTTCTGAGAATTGGATCAATGGCATTAGCATTAGCCCTTGGCTAGCTCACCTTTGAGCTCAGTCTCCTTTAAAACTGAGCTCTGTTATCCAATTAGAGTGTTTATCTGATGAACTAAAGGAAGACCCAGGCTGTCTTCTAAGCTGTCATCTCCTACTCATACAGATCACATTTATGTCAGGGCAAAAAATTTAATCAACTCAATTTGCTGATCAGCTGACGTGATTTCAAACTCAAAATGTAAGAGAGTAAGGAGCAGAATTGATAAGATCATGGCATTTGAGCCCTTGAAAGAACATCAGATACCGTTTCACATAATTCAAGGCCAATAGCCAGGACTATAACCTGGAGTTAACAATGGAGGGTTGAGGGCGGAGGTACAGCCTATAAAGGCACAAACAATGAGTCAGAGAAGCAGGAGCAGATACCTGTGTGAGCTTTGTTTTAAGGCCATACAGGAAGGAGTAGAGTCTGGATGAGAAGGTCTTCCAATTTCTTACTTACTAAACTTTCCATTATCAACTTTCCTCTAACTATTTCCAACTCATGTTTCACCTATTTTATTCCCCTTGAATTAGGTTTCCTACCTCAACCCTACTACACTGAGTGTGTCCTGCTGTACCAAAAAGTATCAATCTCCTTGCAGTCCTTTATAGGATCGTGGATAGCAATGGGGGCAAAAAAAGTACAAAAGCTAAGAATGGTGAGGCCATTATTGGCACAATGCTTGCTATTAAAGCTATAAAATCCATACTGTTCTCTGATGGGTGAGAAAACAGAGCTGAGTGAGGGTGAAAGAGACATAATCAATGAGGACAAGGAAACATACCAACACGGTATTCATTTCAGTGAAAATGCAGGAGGACACAAGACTCAAGAGTGGATGGAACTGCAAAAATGATGAGTGTGCAAAGTTGACAAAAATAAGTCTTCCTTTTAGTCTGTGCCATGACATGTGAGGCCAGCGCCAGAGGAATCAGGTACTAGCTGCCCTCCGTGCCTCTCGAGCTGGTGTCTTGAGAAGCGTCAGCCTTGAGGGCCCTCTCATCTCTGTGCTGTTCATCTGCATTCAGCAGGTTGATATTCAGCTAATATTTGTAGTTGACCAAAAAAAACACTGAAATTCTCATAGTGCCATTAAATAACAATCCCAACATGCTTGGAAATATATATGAAGTAGATTATTTTGCCATACTTTTGACCCATTATTTCCTGAAATCTAAAAGAATGTAACAGTATAAAGCTCCTGTCATAGCCAGGGGCAGCATGAAAAACTCAGACAGCAAATATGCAAATATCCTGAGATGTACACATTTCCAGAGGCTTCCAGACAGGGCTGTAAACTACATTACTTAATCCTATTATACTTCTAGGTTCTCTCACCCCTGAAAACATCTCAACCTGATAGAAGCCCCAACCCAAAGCTGCTAGAATGCTAAGTTTTGAACCAAAAAGACCCACTGGCCTCACAGTTGGCCTGGAATTTGAACAGAGAACTTGAAAGCAGAAGTTTCCCTGGAAAAGTCAGGATGTACAACTGCCATGGGTCGCCTTTCAGGCTGGAACAATATCGTGAAACAAGAATGGTGACCCTTTGAACTTTTAGAAAAACGTATTTTCTCTATGAGATGGAAAAACATCATTTCCTGTTCTTATGGATGTGAGAAGCAGTCTGACCAAAATCTCTGGTTCTAAAAATACATAAATAGCTAGTGGGGCAATATGTTAACAATTTAATAAAGGGTAAATGGAAGGATCTTTGTACTTGTCTTCTTATAACGTTTCTGTAAGTATAAAATTATATTAAAATAAAGAGGCATAAGAATTATTAAAAACAAAAAATAAAAAACTTCTGAGGCTTAAATGTTGGATCTCCTGGGACACTTACTCGCCGCAGTCATGCCATTCTGCGAAAGGTGCATCAGATCCAAAAGTCCAGGAAATCTCAACAGCCACTTCCCAGAGGAAAGCCCTTTGTTAGCAGACATTGTTAACATTTCAATGACAGTTTCACGCACTCTGTCCAGAAACTCTGCTCTTCAAGGTAGTCAGTTTAACCCTGTCACCTCCACATTAGAAAAGAGGGTTCCTTGGTGGTTGGCAAATATTCTACTCCTCTAACCTGCTCTCTCTAAGCGATACACTGAAGTATCACCAGGACTATGCAAGTTGCTTGGCCTTTTATTAATAAAGCAGCTGAATAATTTATAAGGGTTGCATAGGGCCCATTAGAAGTGCCAGAGCAGTAATAACTGGCTTAGGACTTTGCTTACTCAGGGCTAAAGTTTAATTTACCCATAAATGCCCCAGCTCATAAACCCATCCCACAAGTCTGACCTGCTGTCTCTTGCTCTACCATCACATGTCCTAGCCATGCTCTCATCGTGTTCCCTATTGGTGTCATCTCTGGGCCAATAAAACAAATCCAAACCCCCAAACAACTAAAAATTCACACCTTCATTACTACACTTCCTACGTAGGGCCACTGACACTGTCTGCTTCTTAAGCTTTGCTTTTGGTCATGAAGAAAAGCAGTACCAGATTGATTCCTAGCTAGTGAGAGAGCACAGGCAGATGCAGTGAATGGAGGAAGACTGGAAAGGTCCCTTGTTACCTGGAGGAGAGTATGTTCAGTATCAATTAGAGCATTGCTTTCTAAATGAGACATATGATGAGATCAAGAAAATATGCTCTGCTATTTATTTAGTAAGTTCACTTTCCCCGGCCTCAGTTTTCTCATCTGCAAAATGGAGATTGTAATGTAATGGTGCCTACCTCACAGGATTGTTGGCAAGGATCAAATGAATTAATCCACAGCATGTAAGTACTCATTAAGTGAAAACTATTATTAGAAATTCAGACGTGGACTGAATCTTAGAGAAACCTAATCCAAACCCCTCATCCTCTGAAAAAAATCTGAGGTCCAGTGAGGCTCTGTGACCTGTTCAAGGCTCTGTTACTCTGGGGGCAGATCTAGGCATTAATCCAGTTCTCCTGAGAGACACTCAGTTTGGTTCCATTCGTGACTGCAGGGTTGCTGCGGCTCTAGCATTCTTTCTCTATTCTCTATGGCAACCGTAGGGTTTTGTTTTCTAAATTTTAAAATAGTCAAAATGTTAGCCAAGAAACATCAGTGCTCGTTCACTTATCCAAGAACTTTCTAGTGAGCACTAACTTGCTGAAGCACTATTCTAGGCAGTGTTAGGATGGGTTCAGTGGTGACAAGATAGACAAGGTCCCTGCCCTCAAGCATCTGACAATCTGATGACGAAACAGTGATGTCAGAAGGAGTGGCAGTGGGAGATTTAGTCAGGAGGTGGATGCCCCTTAATTGAGGCTGCTTCTTTGCAGTGTAATCTCTAGGAAGATGGCACTGTTACACTGGTTTCAGCATATGCATATATGAATATGCACGGGTATATGTGATAAGAAGAAATTATACAACACGGCGTCACCCTCTGAAAAGTTCATTCATGGGAAATCATATCAGAAATAAACACCACCCATTATCAGAACATACCTTTCCAGGTCTTGGTCTTACCTCCCTGGCTATTCTGGATCAGATGGGTGGATTAAGGCAAAAGGGCACTAGAGTACTCAATGCAGGGCTCAATTCGCTCTAGGTGAAGTTCATTTCTCTACTCTCTCAAGGTTGGATTCTTAGCCTTTGGCATTTGTGCTATGTGCCACGAAATTCCTGCCCCAAGATCCAGTTCAGGGGATCAAAGAGCTATTATTAATGTCTCAGTTTAGGCCAACTGAGAGAGGGAATGGCAGTAGAGGCAGGCCACTCACCCCTCCATTCAGCCGCCCTCCTCTACAATGGGGCCATTGAGCAGGCGCCACAATAGAGGGCTGAGAATAAAAGGCCGAAGGAAGGCATACAGAGTCCCCTTGCACAGACTCGGTCATTCATCACCAGGCAAGTGCTAATATCTGGGAACAGCAATCTCAATTTCTGCAAATCCTCCAACTTGCAACAGCTGCTAGTGACTCTGGTGGGCGGCTTTGCTGCTTACACCAGTTTCCAATACCAAGCACTGGCCCAGAGCCAAGTAGACGTTACTTAGGTTAGAGACACGCTGGCTGCAGAGAGCAGCAACAATGGACTTCACAGCTTATAAAGCAGCTTACAAAGGGCTCCCGTGTATTTCAAAAAGCATTTCAGATAGCTGGTGAGAGAAGCTATCTGCACAAATGCATTCAAGCAGTTTATTTCTAACCCACTTAATTCAAGGTTTCCGTCAGGAGCCAATGGCATAGTGGAGGTAGGCACAGAGAACTACAAGAAGGCTGGATGGCTTGGCAGCTGGGGGAACGCAGTCAAGCCACATCCACCCTCCTCCGAGCACCAGCTCAGCAGGATGGGGAGTGACTGGCAGCAATCAGCCCTCCACCAGGTTAACAAATGTAATGAAAAAATGAAACACAGTCTGTGGGATTCCACGGCTCTTTAGTGAGTTGTTTGTCAAAACTGCTCTCATCAGCACTGTTAAGGAGCATTTCTAAACATTACTGAATGAACGTGCCGAGTGCCATCTAGGTGCCTGCTGCCATACCATCCAAATGCACCTTCATCTGGTTGCAGGTGATGCCAGCCAATGACATCTCCTGTTCTGCCTTACCTCTTCCAAGTTTCTGGGGTCCCACTCATCTCCTCCATGAGATCTAGACTTGCCCTGGTAGGCACAGCTTACTAGTTTCAAGAGAACAACTTTGCCAGGTAACAGGCACAGAGACTAAAAGAAGCTAAAGACTGAGACACAAAGGCCTGTATCTGGAGCCTGGATTTCATGGAAGCCACAGAAGGGCACAGCAAACACTGGGCCCAAAATGGACAATCTTCAGAGGAGAAATACAAAGATAGATAGCAATTCTTCATCAATTTTGTCTTGTCCTGCCCATCGATTTCTCAAAAGACTTTCATGAGTACTTTTATTTATGGAAAATGAACTAATGTGAAGACTGAGGTGAGGTGGGAACTGGACTCACTTCAACTCTTAGATGCTGAGGTGGAAGGACCCCCTCACATGACTTCGGACCCCACTTGGAGCTCTGATGCGCTGTGTATGGATTTCTTAGAAACCATGAATCAAGAGATTCCAGGTAAGAAATTATTAAAATAATGAATAGAATCAAAGGAAATGTACAAAGCTGTATCAAACATGAAGTAGAACTGGATTGTGAACTAGCACAGCTCAAGTGCTACTATGTTGAAGGAACCAAAGCTACCACCTCCCCAGCACTCATTCTAATAGTAAGATCCATTCTCTAAGGGAATAAGGAGTGAGTATGATATGGCAATGTTCACTGTGAGGCCAACCTCACAGTGGGAAATGGATCAACATAAGAAGAAGTTTAGAATGCTATTACCCCATACCATGTAATTTCTTTATTACTGTATGATATGCCATGTGCAGTAATGAGGCTCCTTAAAGGGATCAGGTTCTGAATTAATATATCATCTGTACTTGGATTCATCAGCATCAAATGCAACTCTTTGTGTCTTGGTTATTCCAACAACTATTAGCAGAATGAAGATTATATCAGAGAAAACCTTTAGGGAGAATGTGGGAAAATGAAAATAGTTTCTATCAACTGCAGATTTTGTGCTTGCCTACCAACAATGCAGCACATTTACTTCCAGTATGATTTCCCTGCATTTTTCATGTTATATTTTAAAAGTTAGAATTCACCAACAGGAAGAAACTGCAACAGAACTCAGAGAACCACATTAGAGCTCATAGAGGAAAGCGCAATGGCATGAACACAAACCTATCTACCAGAACTTGCTTTCTGTGCCCCCATCCGCCTGCAAGAAACCAGACAAACACTATGTTAGGCACAGTGGTGCAAGCCTAGGAAGGCTCCAATCACAGATCCATGATATATGTGCACTTCTGATTTGGTTCTTGAGATCCAGATGCTGAAGCTATTACACCGTCTGCCAAGAGCAACAGCTGCTCCACAAGACCTTCCCTCCTGGCAAATCTCACTTAAGAAACCCACCACTAACTTGGTATTTTACACTCAATATTAACATTTAAGTATATGCTGTACTGTGGTGCAATATAAATGATTCTTGTCAAAAATAAGATCCTTGAAGGCATACACTATTTCCCTTTTTTCCCTTGCAGTGCCAAGCAATTAACAGGTGTTAAGTAACCAGTAACTAGTCAACTATAAAAAAGAGGGATTCCAGCAAGAATACTAGCAAGAACAAGTATCTGTTACCATGTCTTCCCACCCACCAAACTGTGGAGGAAAAAACTCCCTCCTCAAATCAAGGCAGGCTGCTTACAAGGAGCACCACGTGAAAGGGAAAGATGGCCACTCTACGCAATATGTCTATTTTGATATGAAGGGCTGGTCTGTCGTTAGCACTTCCCAATCAGTAGCACTTACAAATAGGTCTAAACTTGGAAAATTAAAAAAAAAAAAAAACAAACTCCCTATCAAACAATGAGAATCAAGAGTAAAAAAGAAATAGCAGTTTGCTAAAAAAGAGACTAAAATACATCAGGGCTTTAGAAGTTATTTCTGCATTCCCTGCACATACGACATCATTCATGAAGAAGGCAATGGTACAAATATAGCATAAATGTCGTCTGCTCTAGCTTGTAATTTAAAATGCAAATGCTAATGAGCGAACTGGTATATCAGTGGAGTTAATAACCGCATGCCTAGCACAGGGGCTGCATCCAAAACACACACAGAGAAGAGACAGACACCATGTTCCAATTTAAAAATAAAAACACCCAAATTAACCCTAGAAAAATCACTAGCAGATGTACAAGCTCAGGAAAAGGAGGCACACAAGGGCAGGGAGATGGGAACTTCTCCACCAGCCATAGACTAGCCAGTCAATTTAAATATTTTCCTACATATAGTAAAGGTAAGCATGGGAGTTACGAAGGTTTATTGAGGAATGCTATTGTAAAAGCATTACAGAGTATAATAAGTATATTAAGGAAAAACTACAGGGAATCCAGAAAGCTTGAATAGAAAGTTTCCTCCAAAGCCTACTTTACAAGCCTATAAGCTAATCTTGCAGGGAGCCAAATGAGATGTAGATCTCATTTACTTCATCATAGGCAAAGGGTGAAGAAGCTTTGGTTAAAAAAAGCCCAAAAACTTACAAGGTCTAGATTAAGAGGGTCATTTAAGTAAATTGGAAAAAGCTCTAATGATGAAATAAAATGACGGAGAGAATGCAATTGTGTCTCAGATGCCTTCCAAATATGAAAGGAACTTCTGTAGATTGTTCTTGCTCCTCCTAGGCCTGTGCTTGGCAGCCCTGCAGCAGAATCTGGGAACACTGCACAGCCCTGAGATGAAGAGCAGCTCCTTGGGCTTCTTCTGGGCCCCCCGTGCACAGGGAACGAGGAAGTACACTCTGTGGTCAGTGGCCTTGTCTAGTGCCAGGACTGAAATTGTGACGCCTCCTCAACGCCAACAGGAGAGCAAGCTTGCACAGGCTGCGCACACGGGACACCGAGTGTCTTCTAATTCCCATGTTAGTGCTATTCATTCAAATTCTACACAAAAAACTAGGCGCAAACTCTAACAAGTCCAGCCCATCTGATTGGAGAAGCCTCAGGAAAACTTTTTGAAAGAAACTCAAGGTGAGCAATGACCTGGAGTTTGGGAGAGGGAGAAAACAGCTTTTCAATGATGAAGAATGGTTGTATTTATTTATTTTTTAAACCCAGTCAAATCTGTTTGAAAGGGATGGGGGATTTGTGAGGTGGTTTCCATGGCAACCAGATTAACTCTTACAGCAGTGTGCACTGCTCACCCTGGGGCTGCCCATTACTAGATTTCAAAGCACTAACCTTTAATTTCAAATTACCAAACCATTTACACTCCCTCTCCTGCATCCAGCTTCTGTCATTTTCTACTATTAGTCTGGCCAAATGGACTCCCCCACAGGGCTGGAGTGGTGGTGAGCAGCACAGTAGCTTGTCAACATTACTACTAAGTGGCTGCTGGGAAATGCCCACAGGTTGACAAGATGGTGTTGAATAATCCACACTGAAATGTATTCCTCTGGGAAAGCCACAAGAATGGACTTAGAACTGAGGCATTTGGGTACAACCAATGAGACAGGTGCTGTTTTTGGAAAGGATCCAACAGAGAAAAGCCATCAGATTTCTGGAAGCTTCCCATTCCATTCCCCAATGCCCACCAGGTAGAAAGCAAGCCAGACAATCCTGCTTAAAGTCAGACAGAAAGAACTTTAAAGTAGGAGGGAAGGAGAAGGACCTGAAAAGGAATGCCTAGGGAAAAGCTCACAGATCTGACTTTCTCTACCATTCCACTGGTCTCATTAGCTCTGCATAGGACAGGCCTCATCTCTATCCAGGATATTTTCTCCCCTCATCTCATCAGTATTAAAACATAAAAGCGTAAGAGTAAAAAGCACAGAAGGCTTTGGACTAGAAGAATAGAAATACTAGTCAGAGAATTTAGAAGGAAGGAATCTCCTCACTGACCTACCCATCCAAAGCCAATCCACAGGCCTGACATGTAACAGCAAGGGTAAATCAACATCTATCTTTTCTTGGCACATAAAACCAAGTAGATGGTGAGGACTGAACACCCCAATCAGGAGGCCGTACCATCCTCAGCAGTCTGACTCCACTGAAGGTGATGACACCACCAAGACTATCTTTTCCTAGTTATAGGAAGCCCTAGATAGGCTGGCACATAAATGCCATATGGGCCTTGCTGTTTCCCTCACCTCCCGGTCACCAGCATCACACCAAGATAAGCAGGCCAGTCTGACATAAATAATTAATTAGGAAGCAGGAGAGCAAGAATTCATCTTTAAGTGTTTTAGCTCCAAGGTCTGTGACTGCCATTAAACCATGGCAAACAAATCTTATTTTTATTGATGTTTTATTTGTTCCTCTGGAATGAGTACTAAACAAATCATATTTCTCCCTCTTTTACCGTGAAACACTTGATGACATTGTGGATATCTCTCTTTTAATTCCTACCCCCAATCTTCAGGTATTGGCAGGCTGAGGCTCTTATCATCTTTGCTCATTCTCCTCTGATCTGACCACCTGCAGTTTCCTGATGTCCTTCCTAATAGGATGGTCCTCGGATGATCACCGTACACCAGGTGTGCAATGACTTGGGCTGGGTCAGTACCTGGGACCACTCCTCTCTGAGTTCTATATTTCTGGGTTTTAAACTAGTCTTTTTGACAGCAGTTACATATTTGCTCTTAGTGTTTTATAAAACCTGAGCTGTTTTCATTTGTATAGTATTTAAGGCATGTTTACCCTTATGCTTTTTAAAATATTTTTTTCTTCATGTTGATACATTCTTTACTCCAGGAGACACAATTACTTTGCTCAAAGGCTGGAACTATATCATGCATTTCTGTATTCCTAGCATTGTGCTCAATGAATATAAAAAATTATTAAATAACCATGTAATTGAATGACCCATAAGCATGATGAGGCTCATTCTGGGGATGACTCATGATGTAAAGATGAAAATAATCAGGCTGTAATTGGAGGTTTGCACTTTCATTCACATGACCAGTGGGTGATGGTGTGCCTGTACAGACGGCGAGCGGAAGGCGGAGCAGTGAACGCTCAGTGGCAGAAGAGCTAAGAGGAAGATTCACACACCAATACAAAAGTGGAGAGAAAAATGATTGATGAATATGTCCATTTTTTTTAGGCAACTCTTCCTGAGATCTGATATAGGCCAACTTCTTCTGCCTGGATGAATCAAACCCAGCCTGCCCAAAGAAAATGTAGCAGATCTTCTCAGAAACTCAAATGCCAGCTCCCTGAAGAAAACTTTTCCATTCAACAATTGTTATTTGCTCTGTATTCTCAGAGTATGTGGCCTATGCTTTTGACAACTGCTCTCTTGTATTTCCTTGTCTACACTTTTTGTATGGCTGTCTACACAACAAGACAAAAAATATTCGAGGCAAAAGTTATCCTACTAATTTATGTATCATCCAAAGTTTATCTGTTGAAGACTATCTTTCTTATTCTGTGCTTGTAAAAATCTTGGACTCATTAAAAAACACTCCCCAAATCTGTTCATTGCGTTAATTCTTTCCTGTAAGTGACTCTCCAGGATCCCCGGATGTGAACATAATTCTTATAATTCTTATAATGATATCTTTAAAAGTAAAGAAATAGAGAAGCTCCAGGAAAGTCACATGTTAAGCTGTCCATTTCTTTTTTAAAAAAATCATTTAATATTTAATAATTGCAAATATATTTATTATAATTTATGGATGAGTTATGTTACATACACAAATATAATTTTAACTATAAAACCCAACAAACTAGTTACATTTAAATCATTGATCTTTAGAAGCCAATTTAGTCTTCTAGTCCCCTAACTTTACTAACTTCCTTAAATTATACAAAAATAAAATCTGATAGTTTTAAGCTGCCCATTTCTAGTAATGGGACCCAACAGAAAGTAAGTAGGCAGTAGAGACAGAATCAAACTGGGAAGTCCCAAGAGAAAGAATACCCCACTTTACAAATATCCATTAGGTTGCAATTCAATTAAAGCATCTGAAAGGAATTCATAAGTATCAGCAGACCCTGTAATTGCTTAATTAAGGATAGAAGCCTAGCAAACACAACCACAATAACAGCCTGATTCATTAGCACCTCTGTGATAGCAGAATGGGATTTCTCACTTAAACATACATTGGCTTTAATTGTGTAATTTAGTTAGGCACTGGTAATCAATGGGGACCCACCATTCCTGGGACCAGAAGATGAGGAGGATATCCTGTTCACCTTCCCTTCTCTCCTCACATTAGAAGTTTTGGTCTATTGAACCAGTCAGTTGATATTACAATGAGGATTGCCTGGAGAGGAGATCTTAAAGGAAAAGAAGGAAATGAGGAACTTCATTCAAAGGCATTCAGGGTGCAAGGACATGCAGCCAAACCTTTAGTTCACCATGCACAAGCCCACCACCATTTATCAAATCCTAGACACTTAGAACCTTTCTCAGTGCCTCCCTTGTCATAATGCAGCTCCAGAAAGGGAGAAGGAGAGGGGGAGGGAAAGGGAGAGGAGAAGGGACAGAGGGAGGCAGAGGGAGAGGAGAAGGAAGAGGGGTTGGGAGAGGGAAAGAGAGGAAGGGGGAGGGAAAGAAAAATGCTAAAGGACAGGAAAAGGGAATTCTCATTTTCTTGTCTTATTTCATATGAATAGGTAACTGGTTAATTGTAAGTCACCTGCTGTGTGTGATCCAGAGGGGAACTCACTGCCAAGTGGCTACTGCCTTCTAGATGGTTTATACTATGAGTTCCATGCAAGGTGACTGGCATCCGTTGCCTACCTGCCTCACCCTGCAATTCATGTTTACTGCAGTAGCTCCTTTGCACTAAGGAAATGCAAACACAGCAAGGTGGACTCACTCAGTGAGTTGGCAGAAGACTCCAAATAACTGATATGAGGCTCCTCAGATCACTCTTCACTGAAATTTCAAATTATTGCTCTCTTCCAATTCAGGAGAAAAGTATTTGGTTTACAGGCACCATACCTTGACACCTGCTATGCTTATCCAACAGGACCACTTCCTGAACTGTGCCTGCAGCATGACCCTGATACCTAAGAACTAACAAGGGGATTACAATAAGGACACTCAATATAAAGGTCATGTAATAAGACAAATACTCCACACCACCAGGCTGTTAAGTAAAAATGTGAGGCCATGTGTTACGGTTCATGCTTAAAATCCTAGTACTTCGGGAGACTAAGGCAAGAGGATTGCTTGCGGTCAGGAGCCGGAGCTTGGGCAACATAGTGAGACCCTGCCTCTACAAAAAATAAACAATATTAGCCAGGTGTGGTGGCATGCACCTGTTGTCTCAGATACTCAGGATCTGAGGGGGATTACTTGAGCCCCGGACTTTGAGATTACAGTGAGCTATGATGGGGCCACTGTACTGTAGCCTGTCTCCAAAAAAAGAAAAAGAAAAGAAAAAGAAAGTAAAAAATAAAAGCATGAATTGAGAGTCAAATAATTTCCAAATATGTGACTCAGTCTTCCTCTAGACAAAATACTCAAGTAAAATGGGACACACATGACAAGTGAGAATAAACTAAAAACTGCATGAACCACTTTTGCTCTCATGGAAGAAACGTATGGGCTCACTAAATGCCAGATGAGGAAAAAGGATGCTTTTTAACAAATGCTGGCTGCCCAGGGATCTTGGCTTCCCTGCTAACTCAGGACAAGAACTGACTGTGACTGCCTCCGAGACTGAAATAAGCATGCTTAGGAGGAGGCCACAGCAGCAGGAAGAGAGACCTTGAACAGTCTCAGTTCTGATGCTGTAAGGTCACTGGCTCACCAACCAAGCCTAAGGGCAGGTGCTCGAAGGACTAGAGGGCAAGAGCATTCAGGAGGCATGACCTGTTGGCTACAGCTGACTTCCCCAGCCCCACCTGCTATCCCATCTGACCAAGCGATCATTCTACATACAGGGGTGCAGGAACCGTGACAGAATGGCCAGCTGGCTTGGGCCAAATGCCACTCCCTATCAAGCTGTGGGGCCGTCTGCCCGAAAAAAGGCCACATAAAAATGGAAAGTGTCCACCCCACCTTGAAGTACAGAGGGCTCTCCAAAAGGCTGGGATTAATGAGAGCAGCACATAAGGGACTGCTCCCAACAATTATCTTGACTTTTCCCTTGAGAATCACAACCCAAACTCCCTCCTTACTGTAAAGAGACATCATTTCCAGCAGAATGCCGCGCTTACATAATGGAGAGTGCATGCGACAGATATCTGCAAAGCTCTAGCAGGACAATCGCTACCCAGGCGAACAATCTCACAACACGAATAGCATGCCTATACTCACCTTCAGCTTTGCAGGTAGTTTTAAAAGACCAATGGCTCCTTTTCTCTCTAAGTCTGCTCCCTCAACCCACATCCTCCATCCATCTCATTCCTTCTGTTTCTTCCAGGTCACTGCTCCATTAATTATCCCTGTGCAGCCTTTCCTGATTCCTTCTCTTCAGAATTCAAACCAGTGCCTCACAACATTTCAAATCTCATGTTCCCCAGGATAATCTCTCACTCCATCTTTTTTATAGCCTCATTTGCCAATATTTTGTTGAGTTTTACATTCTAAAATGGATATTATGAAAACCATAGGTATACTGAATAGCCTTTTCAACTATCTATACCTTTTTGATTCTTGAATAAGAATTACAGTTCTAAGAGCACTCAAGATACTGACATCCTCAGAATGTTACCTTCACCCTTTGGCTTTTACTTTCTGCACTACTTTTCCATTCTCTGTTAGATATTGGGGAAGTGCAATCTGTATTTAATGTTTGTTTCTTACTTCCCCCTTTACTTCCCAGTCACCTGTAATCTGCCTTTAGTTGACTCAACTCTGATGAAATTGTACCAAGACAGGTCACCTGTGACGTACTAGTTGACAAGCAGCATAAAAGCACTTCATAGTTTTTATATACTTGATGTTTCATGTAAACTCTGACACTGTTGATGCCTGGGGGGGAATTCTCTACTCTCTCGGCTTCCAGAAGAATGCTGTCTCCTGACTGACTGCTCTGACCATATTTTCTCTGCCCATATATGAACACTTAGCCCACTCCACAAAGGCTGGTGTCTTCCAGGGTGCTTACTCCTTGTAAACGTGTCCTCTAGGCACTGTAACAGTTTTAATTACTGCCTCTATGCCGATGGCTCCCTGACCTGAGTATTTGCATAGGCTCTTCTGCTCAGCTTGAACGTTCCCACGGATATTCCAAAACCAAACCAACAACCTGTTCCTAAAACCTATTTACTTTTGTGTTGTTTTTGACTGTGGACATCTTGATCTACCTGACTGCTCAAACCTAGGACACCTTCACTTTCTCCCCTCCACTCAACATCATCCCCTATTCCTCACCAAAAAGAGACCAGGCATTTCCAGAATCTCATCTAGTCTATCTCCTACTTTTCCAAATCTCTCCAGTTTTCTCCCCAGATTTCAGACCTCCACTACTGTTTTGCCTCTGAATTGCTCTCCCAGACTCTTGTGCTTCATTTATTCCAATATATCCACCAAAATGAACTTTCTTAACCCACGTCTGAGCATGCTGCCCCTTGCTTAATAGTTTCCAGTGACTCTGAGGGTCCACTGCATATTCTAAAAGAGAAGGACTAACTTGTGTCTGAGTTGTCAGACTGATCCCATGCTCCACCTTCCTCACTCTTTATACTCCACCAGTAACAACGGCTATGTGGTTGCCCAGATCCATGCAGATGTATCATACCTCTGCAACTCTGCACACGCTGCTATCTCTAGAAAGAATGTGCATCTCCTCCTACTCCTCCTCCCCAACACAGTAAACTCTTCTATGTCCTTCAAAGCACAGCTCAAGATACCAGTACCTAGGGAGGTGTTCTCTGATGTCCACCTAAAGGAATAATCATTCCCTACTCAGTGCTACTTCTAGACCTTGTCCATAATTCTATTCTCTCATCTAGTGCCCAACCTTACATCTTGTTTACATGCCTGTATTCCCTTGGGTGTTTCCTGAGACCTAGGACTGTATCTTACCTGTGTATTCTTCGGGATGGGGTTTAGGACATTGCAGAGTTCCTTGCTCCAAAGTCTCAGAGGGAAAACCCAGGTGCCTTCCTTCCAGCAAGCTCAGTCAGAAGGAGGCTGGCGCAGCTCTTCTTCTTGATTTATTTCCACTAATGGGTGGGTCGCAATTTCTATGGTAGAGCCATAGCTATGTGCACACATGCTGCACAATTATGCCATTCCAAATTGAGGGGCAAGGCAAACTCTAGTTATAAAAACACTAACTTTTTGCAAGGGGAAGGAGCATATTTGTTGATGATCTGCTTTACAGTGGGCTTGTTTTAGATTCAACTCATTAAACTCCAATAATCATGAGGCAGGAAACAATCCCCAGTTATAACTGATGTGTAAACTGAGGCTTGAAGAAGGTAAATAACCTCGCTAAAGTCACCTGCTTATACACAGTAGAGCCACGACGCAAACTGAGATCTGCTTTCTCCTAAGACTTTTCCCCGTCCTGTATTCTTGCCAGGTTTCTGAAGAAACCAAAAGATGCATAATCTAACGGGATATACTATGGCAGGAGAAAAATGTAAAAGGCTTATATTTTTATCACTTATTTGCTTCTGTGTAATCTATCTTTCACAATGTAAGTTAACTCAGGCAATGCCGTTTGAATTGCTAAGCTTAAAATAATGCCAAATACACACAGGAACTGGCTGATGCAGAGACGAGTGATCAGACTGCTTGTGTCTAAGCAACGTGAAAACTAGAAGAATTCTGCAGGAAAACTCCAGCCAAGATGGTCTGTGTGCTCTGAGCTGGCTCCATTCAGGTAATTTAGAGTTTAAAAGACAGAACTTCAATGTTCTCCTTTCCCTATATATTTGTGGCCAAGTTTCCCAGAAAGAATAATACTGTTTCTCTTTTTCACCCCTGGGATAAAGCGCTACACTGTCAAAAGGATGCTTTTCTTTCTCAGCTATATAGCAGATGATGAGTTGAATACATACAGGCATACCTCGGAGAATTTGTGGGTTCAGTTCCAGACCACTGCAAAAGTGAATATTGCAAGAGAGCAAGTCACACAAATTTTTAGTGTTCCAGAACATGTAAAAGTATCTACCCTATACTGTAGTTTACTAAAAGCACTTTATTGTTAAAAAATATTAACGATCATCTGAGCCTTCAGTGAGCCATAATCGTTTTGCTGCTGGGGGGTCTTGCTTCCATGCTCATGCTGCTGACTGATAAGGGTGGTGGTTGCTGATGGAGGTGGTGGCTGTGGCAAAAAAACAATGAGGTTTGCTGCATCAACTGGCTCTTCCTTTCACAAAATATTTCTCTACAGCATGGAATGCTGTTGGATAGCATTTCATTCACTGAAGAACTTCTTTCAAAATTAAAGTCCATTCTCTCAAACCCTGATGCGGCTTTATCAAGTTTATGTAATATTCTGAATCCTTTGTTGCCATTTCTACAATGTTCACAGCATCTTCACCAGGACTAGATTTCACCGCATGAAATAACTTTCTTTTTTTTTTTTTTTTTTTTTTTTTTTTAAGACAGAGTTTCACTCTTGTTACCCAGGCTGGAGTGCAATGGCCCGATTTCAGCTCACCGCAACCTCCGCCTCCTGGGTTCAAGCAATTCTCCTGCCTTAGCCTCCCGGGTAGCTGGGACTACAGGCATGTGTCACCATGCCCAGCTAATTTTCGTATTTTTAGTAGAGACGGGGTTTCACCATGTTGACCAGGATGGTCACGATCTCTTGACCTCGTGATCCACCGGCCTCGGCCTCCCAAAGTGCTGGGATTATAGGCGTGAGCCACCGTGCCCGGCTGGTGAAATAACTTTCTTTCATTTCTAAGAGGCAACTCCTCATCCATTCCAATTTTTTTTTCATGAGATTTCAGAAATTCATTTTTATCACCAGGCTCTACTTCTAATTCTAGTTCTTTTGCTATTTCTATCAGTTACTTCCTCCACTGAAGTCTTGAACTCTTCACAGACATCCATGAGGGTTGGAATCAACTTCCTTAAAATTCCTGTTTATGTTGGTTGCTGTTTCAACCTCCTCCCATGAATCACGAATGTTCTCAATGGCATTTTAAGTGGTGAATCCATTCCAGAAAGTTTTCAATTTGCTTCCCAGATCCATCAGAAAAATCACTATTTATGGCAGCTTTAGCTTTACAAAATGTATTTCTTAAATAGTAAGGCTTTAAAATAAAAATTACTCCATGGTACGATACATGGGCTGCAGAACGAATGCTGTGTTAGCAGGCATGCACAATCTTCTTGTACAACTGTTTCAGAGCTCTGGGTGACTGTCAGCTGCGTTGTCAATGAGCAGTAATATTATGGAAAAAAATGTTTTTTTTCTGAGCAGATCTCAACAATGGGCTTAAAATAGTCTATAAACCATGCTGTAACCAGATGTGTTGTCATACAAACTTTGTTGTTCTGTTTACAGAGCATAGGCAGAGTAGATTCAGCATCACACTTAAGGGCCTTAGGATTTTGGAATGGTACATGAGCAATGGCTTTAACTTAAAGTCACCAGCTGCATAAGGCCTCAACAAGAGAGTCAACCTGTCTTTTGAAACTTGGAAGGCAGGCATTGACATCTCTCTAGCTATCAAAATCCTGGATGGCATCTTCTTCGGGTAGAAGGCTGTTTCATCTACACTGAAAATCTGGTGTTTGGTGTAGCCACCTTCATCAGTGATCTTAGCTGGATCTTCTGAATAACGTGTTATAGCTTTTACATCAGCACTTGCTGCTTCTCCTTGTACTTGCATGTTATGGAGATGGCTTCTTTCCTTAAACCTCCTGAACCAACCTCTAATAGCTTCAAACTTTTCTTCTGCAACTTCTTTACTTCTCAGTGTTCACAGAATTGAGAAGAGTCAAAATCCAGAGGACTTCCTCTGGATTAGCCTTTGGCTTAAGGAAATGTTGTGACTGGTTTGATCTTCTATCCAGACCACTAAAATTGTTCCATATCAACAATAAGGCTGTTTTGATTACTTTTCTATTTTGAGATAGGGTCTCATTATGTTGCCTGAGCTGGTCTGTAACTCCTGGGCTCAAGTGACCCTCCCACCTCAGCCTACTGAGTAGTTGGGACTACAGGCAAACACCACTGCACCCAGCTTTGTTTGGTTTTATCATTCAGTGGGTGGAGCAATCAGAACACATATAACATTTATCAATTAAGTTTACCACCTTAGGGCTGTGGTTCATGACGACCCAAAACAATTGCAATAATAACAGCCAAGGTCACTGGTCAGAGATCACCACAACAGATGTACTACTACTACTAATAAAGTTTGAAATACGAAAAGTACCAAAATATGACAGCCACATGCTGCTGGAGAAATGGCACTGACATACTTGCTTAACACAGTGTTGCCACAATCCTCCTATTTATCAAAACAATGCAAACCTGTGAAGTGCAATAAACCTGGATATGCCCGTGCCTCCAATTCTCTCGCAAAAAGTTCACTGCCAAGAAACTTCACGGGTGTAGAAACCTTAGTAAAAAGGCACAAATAGCTGCATAAAAGGACGCTCTCACACACTGCCACAGCGCCCCTCAGTTTACCACAACTCACATTAGCAAAAATAAAAGCACAGCCCACCAATAAGGTATCAATTTTCTGCATCTATTCTTTTGCATAGCTGCCCTGGGCTTGGAGTCACATTTCAATGAGTCCCTTCAGAAGGCCTGCAGAACTGTGCAATGATCAAGTTCACAGGAGTATGCACAAGAGCTGCAATGAGAAGTGACAGCCAAGCAGCAGCAGTGAGCTCCACAGTCATGTGTTCAGGGAGAGATTTATCTCACACAACTCAATCCGTTTAGTTGGGGCCTGAGGGAGATCCTTATCTAGACAAGAAACTACCTGTGCCTTCTAGGAAAAGAAGGCCAAGGCGATCTGGCAGGAGACGGCAAGCATGGCTCCCGTTTCTCTTTCCCCATAGCAAATTCTATTCAAGAATTCAACCAACGTAAGAAGTGTTGAGACAACAGGACAGTAACAAAAAAGGAAAGCTGGGGACCACATGCATCTGGGGACCACGGCGGGATATGTCTTTTGCAAGTGAATGAATGTTTGTGTGTGCAGGGGTAGCTGGGCGGGCATGGTGGGGGGTGGTGGAAATAAAATGACAGCTTTCCCTCAAAGACTGCAGTCTCTGTGAAGCACCAACTGGAAATAAATAACTATTATTTGCCAGCAGCAAAGAAATGAAGCAGTTTGTTCCTTGAATGCATAAATGTAAATTGCTCAAAGAGCACAGTTTATACATAGCCTTCTGGCTTGTGAAATATTAAGCTACCAGAAAAGACAGGATAAAAGAGACGCACATTAAGTCAGCAAAGAAAGGAGCATCGCTTGCCTCAGTACGTCAACCTTAGCACAACAAGAAATACTAGGGATGTGGGAAGAGCGTGTGAAAGCAACGTCATAGCTGGGGTTTCATAAAGGGCTGGGATTTTAACGGCATTTGAAAAGAATAAAAAAGAGACAAATGGCACTGCCTCGGTAAATGCAGGGGCACGGTGTCTTGGCTCCTCGGAGGCCTCCCCGCAACTAAAATGGCAGGGGTGGTCTGTTTCAAGCAGGTAAGGAATGCCAGCTCTGAGAATTCCATTGCTGGTATTTTCCTAAGTCTGGAATTTCCTTTACTCTAGCTCTATAAGGGCTGCGTGCTTTCAAGTTGTTCTACTCCTGCATCCTGTGCTTGGTAGAAACTAGGAGCAAAAAGAGGATGCACGCTGGGTGAGCAGAAAGAGGGTACAGTGCTGGGTCTGCAGCGACAGGAGGATCCAATCTAGAAACTGTGTTTGCATATCCCAACCAGAGAGGAAAAGCAGGCTGGTGAGCTCTAGGGCCTATCTAGAACACAGGGGAAAGGAGGGCATGTGGCCTCCAGGGGTGACTTCTGAGCTCAGAGTAACATGTGACACGTAAGACTTACCTGCAAGCAAGAAGGTAATAAGGCAAGTTTCCTTTGGCAAATAGAGCTTGAGACGAGAACCACTGAAGACGTATTCCACCACAGCTTCAGAACGACCTGCCCGCTGAAGAAAAGGTAGGAACTGCTTTGCTTTTTGGGTGTCCTGAAGGAGGAAAGAAGAAAAGTGTAACTAGAAGGTGATCAAACCCATCGTTTCTTTCTAGTCTAGGACAAAAAGTTTGGCAGACCACAGGAAGCTAAGCAGACAACCCTATTTATAGACATTTCTGAAATCAAGACATAGACAAGATACCCATGAGGCCTCAACAGAAGAAATATAATTAATCAACAGTTTCCAGAACATTCTCATTGACTTAAATACTCAGTTAAAAGGGTGCTTGGAAAATGAGACTTTCACACCAGACTTCCCTGGGGCAAGAAGAGCTCATCTTCCTTTAACATAAAATTGAGGTACTAACCTTCTATTCAACCATTAATATTAATTTTAAAAAAACAATGCCTAGGCTATGTCACAGGGTCCCCATAACCCTATCCCAGGAAGCCAAAAGTAGTTTATCTTCAGTCTTAAATAGGTTATGTAAGATTCAGAGCTCACTGTTTCTTCACCTTGAGAAGAGCTCCAGGCACTAGCACAGCAACTGCTGCTCTCTGTGCATTTTGGGGATGAGATGATACCTGGGGCATATTGCTCCTACCCAGGGAGATGTGTAACAGCAGGATGTGGTCCATGGAGACAAACACCACTTCACGTCAGCATGAGTAATTACAGAAACACTAAGAACACGTGAAACGGAATAGCACTTTAAAAACTTTTTCTCATGCATCAACACAAAGTCTGTGCATTCTATCCTCCAGAGTGCCAAATCATGGACATTCTGAATCGCAGAACTTTCAGCCACATAAAAGCTAAGGGTCTTCAAATCCTTCTAGTCTCTCAAGCTAATTAAACAGATGATAGGGTAAGTGAGCATCAAAATATCACATTGCACATGCTGGGGGAATAGTCACCGGATGTTAGAATTTTAGGTTTTCAGCCCAGCCAGCAAAATGAAAACCCCCTCTGAGGACACCAAGTTCTGCACACTTTCCTGACTTCTGTGACACAAGCAGTCTGCACCCATCCGAGCTCTTCCTTTTTGACTCTTCTAGCAACAGAGCTATTTTATTTAAATTAATGCACATTAGATAATGAAAATGTGACCAGCCATCAAATATTTCAAGAGTTTTCAGAGCAGCCAAAGGGGCTCCTCTCATTCAGAAGTAGTGAGGTAGGCTGGGATGAAAACAATATTTACAGTAATAAGATTCATCCTTCCCATCAAACATATTCTTAGAGAAAAAGAGAGACAGCAATCCACTCTCAGTGTCTCTAACAGCACAGTGGTAAAAGGCAAGGTAACCATGAGCTTTAGTGGGTTGGAGACTTCCCCATTGAACACTTAAGCATCACATTCTACTACACATATGCAGCATGAAAAATGCCTGTCTGGCAGCTGGCAGAAGTCCAGAACAGTCAAG